TCTTTTCCCACCCTGCCCTGCTAGTCCTCCCAATCTCTCAATCTTTTTCTATGCAGAGCACGTGTGTGAATCTAAACTCAAGTCCTCAGTAGCAAACCATCCTCCTGCATTTACCCTTCCTAAAAGACTTAGCACTGCTTTTCTGTAACAATCACACCAGGTTCCTCCTGGAGCACCTGTGCTGGAGTCCTTGAAGCAGGCCCACCAGTGGTGGGGCAAAGTCAGACCACAGAGGCCAGAGACAGAGACCCTGAAATGGTCCGACTCCAACTAGCCATTAAGACCTTGAGCAAGTCACTTCACATCTCTAAACCTCAGTTTCTTCTTCTGTAAAATGAAGACTAAACTGAGACTACCTTCAGTTTTCACATTTTATGTTTTAGGTAACTAGTGACAAACACTCTTCTTTGACCATTAGTAGGGCTCTTCTGAGTCCTCTGCTTGACTAGGCCCAACCTTGGGTTTCTCTGTCTGTCCTTGCAGACTCCAGTTTGAGCAGGAATCCTGCTCAGTCAAGTTAGGGAAAATCCCCCACCCTTGGTACCTGACCTTGATATTAGATGCTCTGGCTGCCTTCAGCAATAATCCCATCAAGCCAATTTAGTCAGACACCCCTTATCATTGATGTTTCCTCTTAGTAATCTTCCTCCACTGACGTCTACCCCCAACCCCCACTCCTTGGTTATAAATCCCAACTTGTCCTTGTCAGAGTGGGCGTTGAGTCCAAGACCCCCATGCAGTAGTCCCTATACCTATTGCCATCACCCCCCACCTTTGAATAAAGTCTGTGTTACCGTCTTTAACAAGTATCAGGAATAATTAATTTTTTCCTTGCTACTACTTAGGCAAAACCAAAAAATTATAACTGAGGTACAACTAACTTTCAGTTGTCCTGAAGTCTTTCAGTTTTAGGTTTAAAGATCCTTAATTACTTGCTCATCACCCTATTTTTTAGACTCTTATCTGAAAAAATGCATTGCCAATTTGAAGAAAGCTTTACGGCTGTTACTGGCTTTGATTCAGCCCCTCAAAGAACTTGATCTTCTACAACTGTATGAAAGGGGCAGAGTTGTCTTCCTCACAAGGGTATGAAGAAAACTGTGAGTACTTTTTGTGGAGAAGAGGGACACTTCCGCATTTCTCATTTCTTTTTTGACAATAAAACAAAAGTGCCACTAATCTGTGATCAGAGATTAATAATCATACATATCACCCTATTTTCCTTTTTAGTTCTTTCAATGTCCCCACCAAAATACAAAAATAAGTTCCAGAAATGGGCATAAATGGAGGAAGAATTGTGACAGAACACCAAAATTCTGCTTACCTTTGACTTAACCTTGCTTAGTTCTCTAGTGAGTACAACCCACACAGTAAAAAACCATCAATGCCCAAATCTGTGTCCTGGCAAATAGCAGTATCAACTCCTGCATAGGCTGTCCTGGCTGGTTTGCTTGCTTTTGTCAATTCTGATTCTTTGGAAAAAGATTATCTATCTCCAAGGCCATGAAAGCATCTAACTAGGATAAATAATGGTAAAGAGTTCCTGCCCATGAAAAACAATCCTCCATTGTCAGATATTCCCTCTTAATTGATCTTAATAAGCTATTTTAAATGAAGAGGAAAGGAAAAGCATACCACTAACACACAGTAATTATCCATAATTCTCCATTTGTAATGTCACTGAACAGAGAAAATAATTTGATATCTTATAATGACATCAAAATTAGGGTATTTGGTACAGTAAAGTAACTTTTACATTATTTAAAAAGCACGTTTTCAACCCAATGACAATATATACCACAGACTTTGGGAGCTGTTATGAAATGAAATGAAATTTCCACAGGGCATGACCCATGAGAATAGGCAGTAGTCTGGCCTTGTGGCCTAAAAGCTGGAATCAGTGTGGCAGAGACTCATTTAGCTACTAATATTTAATGTAAAATTCAGCGATTTTGTATCAGTTTTAAAGTGAAAGGAAGAGAAAGAGACTCCCAAGCTTCTTGATAAGTTTTCTGGCAACTTAAAATAACTATATATTTAGCATTTTAGAGGTCATTTTAAATCAAATATCCTTATTTTACAAATGAGAAAAAAACAACAACAAACAGGTGGTCTCACAGCTATTAGCAAAGCCCACGGGCCTCAAGCATAGTGGAGGAGGAGGGGGTGTCAGGGAAAGACCACTACTCTTCATCTTACTATCTCAGCTTCAATCTTGATCAGTAATGAACACTTCCCTTAATCAACAGATGATCTGTCTTCATCTCTCTTGGTATCAATAAGTAATCCTTGAGTGCCTACCGTGTGCCAAATGCTGGAGTTACTATAATAATTATTATACTATAACTAGGATAGTAGGAACAATTTTACCTAATATCTCAAGCAATAATACAATTGATTAGCATGTTTTTAAAATTCCATGACTTCACTCCACAAATGCGACCGACCTTGTGCGAGGACGTGTGTGTGTGTGTGTGAAGGAGGTGTGTGCACAGAACACTGATGTGTATTTCCCTGAAATGGTTAGCTGTCCAGTCCTGAAGCTGGAGTCTCAATGCTAATAAGCGGCACCAATTGACCCAGTGGCAACAACAGAAAAGGACAACCTTGAGCTTAGAGTTGAAAATGGACTAGGAAGAAAGATGGGGGTCCAAGTAACCAATGGATAACAAAAAAGGGGGAAAACGACCATGACCCAGAGCAAGAAGGGCCTAAGGTGCCTCAGAGGATGCTCTCATGCAGCCCCAGGCCAAGGATCCCAGCCCTGCCTAGGGCAATGACCTGGGGGAGAAACAGCAGTGACCTTTGTGTGGGGCTCACTGGAAAGTATGTGGGACTTGCCTTAGGTTAACAATTACCCAGCACTGGGAGCCACTCGTTTTTGCTTTAACAATGAAACAATCAGAACTGGAAAAGAGTTGAATTATTTTTATTTTAGTTCTTTTGAAAGTTACTTGTCTTAATAACAACGTACTTTCAATCTATTCTAGGGAAAATAGGTTTGGAAAGAAAATCTGCAAATAATTAGTTTATTGGAGATTTTTAATCTATATAACTTTTCTTAGAATTGACAATTAAGAATTCTATTCAAATTATATTATGAACTGACCTAAGCCAATTTAGAACTTCAGAAAAATGCCCAGTTCTTTTGATAAATGTAAAGAGCTTCCAGTAATTAGAGACAGGTGAGAGCTACACACTCCCTACACCCCAAGTGCTACCAAGGCACATACGCAAGCAGGCACAAAAACAGACAATCTGTCCTTTTCTGGGTAGAATTTCTCTTTTTGTTCTCAAGTATTTAGATAAGGACTATGCTAGTTCACTCTGAGGTACACACAACATTTTCAGGGCAGGACAAGCAAATCTCAGTCAGGTGGAAAATGGAACCTTCTGACAGGCCGGGCTTGGCAGGTTCTCATTCCTCACTCATGCAAGGGTGGTGGGGTACTGACCATTCAGTTCACTAATGAAAAATATTCTTCAACATCCCTTCTGCTTATGTACAGGAATTTGACAAAAAAGAAAAAAAAAAAAACAAACATTCTTAAAGTAGAGAAAACCTCTTGGACTATATCTGAAGCATTTAGGCAGTCAACTTTGGAGAATGCATTCCTAATGATATATCTGATGTCAATCAAACACACTAAGGGAATTAAAGTTAATTTACGTATACACACACATGGCACTGTGTATGTCAGGTAGATAGTGAAGGCCTCTGGCTCTCCCAGGTATGAGAAGGGACAGGTGCCCCGCTTCAGGTAACTGCCACAAAGGGAGGAGAAGGCACTGCCAATCAGAACTCAGCAGGCTAACCGCAAAAGCGGGTGGGAATCCGGAAGAAGAAATTCCTAAAAAGCCAAGCAGCACAGGCACAGCAGGGTCTGGAAGATGACCAGAAGTAATCTCGGGCCAATTACCATGTCATTAGCATAAATCTGCATTGCAGTTTTGCCACCCTACTCCCACCTGGACTTTCAGAGAGGCTCACAGGAAATCCAAATGCATAGTAAGGTTCAGGTTATATAACTAACACCTGTCCATCAAGGTGACAAATAAGCCACACCTGATGGGGAGGCTTCAATCCAGACAATACAAAACGAAAACTTTAGTTAAGAGTCAGGGCCCTCCTGCAGCAACAGGAGGCCTGCCGCTAGCTGGCTGTGGCGAATGTATCTTGCCTTTACTGGATAAAACTCTGCTCTGGCTTGCTTTGGCATACATGTGTCTTGTCATTCTCGGACAAGAGCACACCAAGAACCAAGGACAGATAGCAGACCTGCCCTGGTCCAGTGGTCAGGATTCTGTGCTCTCCACCACAGCCCAGTTTGGACTCCGGTGCAGGAACCAGATAGAGATCTGACATCTGGAGAACCAAGCCAGCCCATGTTCTACTCCCGGTGTTCAAAATTTTGCAAATTTGGTTTTGCTCATCATTCCCTCTATTAGGTAAATGTCTATTAAAACCAACTGCTAATCATGTTGTTACTTTTTATGTTTTTAGGACACCATAGTCAACACCTAAGATTTATTTCTAAGTTCCTCACCAAAAATGAGCATATTTTTCTTCTTACCACTTGTGGGTATAAACATTATACTGGTATTTCACTCTATTTTAGACTTTAACGAAGTCAAGTTATATTGCCAAAATTAAAATCGTGATTCAAAATAAGGTTTTTAAAAGAATCATGACATTCTCCAAGGCTTTAACACTGCAAATCATTCTGATAATAATTGGAAAACTACTAGATACTATACTTTGCAACATTATGTTCAATCATAACCACAACCCTGTATTCCCACTGTAGAGATGAGGACACTTCAGCTCAAGGGAGTTAAGTGAGCTGGACAAAATTACTATCTGACACAGGATTCAAAGCCAAGTTTGCCTGGCTTCAAATCTTAAACTCTTTCCTTTTTAATTAACAAATTAAACTGCTAAACTATGCAACTCAAAATAACAAAAATCATGCAAACATGCCATATATCCTATTTCATACCTTTAATCCTCTGAAACTTCCTGGGCTAGTTGGGGAGGAACTGGAGGATTTCGTAGATTTAGGAGTGGAAAGTTGGCTGCTGGGAGTTCCATTAACTGATCATGAGACAACAAAAGAGACAGAGGTCATCAAAACCCGCAACCACCAGATCGTATAAAAACACTTAGTGCATGCACAATATAGCTCCAATGATGCTGCAATTCATTTAAGCTCAAAGCAGATGGCAAATCAGCAAAAAGCAAAAATAATGTATCTTATTGCATTACAGACAAAAAAAAAAAAAAATCAGACAAATAGTGAAACCAGATTTTCAGTAGTAGTTTTCCAACATTGATATAAACAAATATAAAAGACATCATGGAATTAGAGATGTGAACGAGAACTTGTCCATATATCTTGCCTGCCAGCAATGGTAGACAAATGAGTAGCTGTCATATTTGCAATGTTTACTATGAAGGCCATTTCATAACCTCCAATAGCCACTGTCTTGGTGTATACCAACCTGAGTAACCAAGAAGTTCATGTGGCTCTCCTAAATCAATTATACCATGTTTCAAATACATTTTCTAAGTATGTTCTTAATGGAAAAGGAAAATTATTAGTAGTGTTCCTTCTAATACCTACTTATTTGCTTAAAGGCCATAAAAGACATTCTTCAAGTTTCTTTTTATATAGACTACTTATTTCTAATTCCTTCCATTTTCTTTTCTTCACAGCATAATTTCCCCATTATTTAGCAAATCTTGGTAGTTTTCTATGGACCCTTCTCCAAACTTCCACACACTTCTTTGGTTAAAAGCTCTACTTAGATCCTATGCTAGGAAGAGTGCGGCCACCATTGTTCAGAGGGGAAGGTTAATTTGCAGACTCTGTACCACGGAATGCTGGTCAAACATTTCAGAATGACTTATTATGCTTACTCCTAATTGTATCATTTGCATCCATTTCTGCAGTGATTTCACAAAGCTGGGAGTTAACATCTAGTACTGGTATGTGTTTTTCTCCTCTAAAGAGTACTTTTAATCTCTTTTACTATTAATCTTCAAAGCTTTTGCCCAGAGTAGATGAAAACTGCCATTCATCTTTATAGAAAGAAAAGAGAAAGTCCATCTGTTTTTTTTTAATGTGAGGGAAAAGACAACTATTATTTTAAATGATGATAATAAGTATAAAAAGCCAAATGCAGAGGTAAAGGTCCTGAATAGGTAACTCAAAAACGTGTGCACCTGTCCTAGAGCAAAGGCAGAAATCCTGTATCAACAAGTATTAATGAACAGATGAATCATCTCTAAACAGGAGTATCTGGGTTTATGAAGTCATGTTTGTTTATTGTATTGTTCATTTAAAACATTCAGTGAAGATAAAGAAATTTTCAGTAATTTTCAAATTGCCAAACTTTAATATTTCTGACTCAAAACCACTTATTCAAAAATAATGGTCAGTTATCTAGATTTTCTTAACAAATATATGTGGGTACTTAGAATATAAGTAAAACACAATTAACTATATAATTCAAAACATGAAGAGTATTGAAAAGCCCTGGTTATTTCTCAATTAAGTGAAATTTCAATTAATGTTATTTCTTTTAAAAAATTTCTTTGAAAGGTAGAACACAAAGGATTTTTAGGGCAGTGAAACTACTCTGTACAATACTAATGGTAGATATATGTCATTATAGTTTTGTCCAAACCCATAAAATGTACAACACCAAGAGTGGACCCTAATGTAATGGACCTTGGGTGACAATGATGTGTTAACGTGGGTTCATCACTTGCTACAAATGTATCACTCTAATGGGGGATACTGATGACAGAAGAGGTTATGCATGTTTAGGAGAAGGAGGTACATAGGAAATTTGTATCTTCCATTCAATTTGGCTGTGAACCTAAAATTGCTCTAAAAAACAGTCTTTTTAAAAATCTCTTTAAAAGGGATTCACATAAAATAGAAATTACTGGCCAGGCACAGCAGCTCACACCTGCCAGCACTCTGGGAGGCTGAGGCAAGAGGACCGCTTGAGGCCAGTTGTTCGAGACCAGCCTGGGCAACAGAGTGAGACCCTATGTCTAAAAAAAATTTAAAAAATTAGTCGGGCATGGTGGCACATGCCTGTAGTTCTAGCTAGTTGGGAGGCTGAGGCAGAAGGATTGCTTGAGCCCAGGTGTTCAAGGTTGCAGTAAGCTATGATCACACCACTGCACTCCAGCCTAGGTGACAGAACAAGGGAAGAAATAAACTTGGGGGCTTTTTGTTTGTTCTCTCTGAATACATTTTATCTTGGCAGACTATGAAAGATTTACAAGCTAAAAACCTAAAACAAAAATTTAAGACTCAAACTGTGGTAACCATTTACACATTTATGTTGCCCAGCTTAGTATCTATGTGTTTATTACGTTACGTACTATTAGCTATTTTGGTAAGTTTTGCTGAAGGATTTAGTCAATGAGAAGACTTCACTCAAAGCAGAACTTCTGTCCCAAGATTGAAAAGTACAATATTATGTTTACAAAGTTACAAGCTCTATTTGAAATTCCTATTAGTCCCATGGAATTTTTTAAATGGTAACACTTATTACATAATCTAAAGCAGAGTCTGTAAAAGCAATACTATTCCTGGGTACTGTAGTGTTAATAATACAAAGCTCTCTCCTTCCTGGTGGAAGAAAGAAAACATTGTATAGAAAAATGGAGTAGCTTTCTTCAGAATCACACTCAAATCCCAGTAGTTAACTCAGGCTTTCAGTTTTCTACGACTGCAGTAAGTGCTGAACACACTTTGAATGAATCTCTTATAAAGAAGACCATTCGCTCTCTGAAATGTGGTTTTAAAATCTCACAACCTTTACTTAATGAACTTGGGGCCTACTCTATTAACCCAAATCCAAATATGTACTCAGCTGGGCCAGGCGTGGTGGCTCATGCCTGTAATCCTAGCACTCTGGGTGGCCGAGGCAGGAGGATCACGAGCTGAGGAGTTTGAGATCAGCCTGAGCAAGAGCGAGACTCCATCTCTACTAAAAATAGAAAAAATTAGCCGGGCACAGTGGCACTTGCCTGTAGTCCCAGCTACTTGGGAGGCTGAGGCAAGAGGATCGCTTGGAGCCCAGGAGTTTGAGGTTGCTGTGAGCTAGGCTGACGCCACAGCACTCTACCTCTACCTAGGGCAACAGAGCAAGACTCTGTCTCAAAAACAAAACAAAAAACCAAATATGTATTCAGTTAAAAATTTTGTATACTAGAATGCTATGATCTTTCTTAATTTCTAAGCATTCCAAATTCACATTAAGAAGAATTATTCATACATTTATTAGGCTACATTATGGAACAGTTGGTCCGTAGGAGAAATGTGGCTATAATACATATTTTTAGTTCAATATGTTAATTTTCCTCTTTGGATCTCAGGGGAACAAAACTGAATTAATCATACTTGATTCCTGAACCATTCTCCCTGCTTTTAGTTAATCATTTCCCTGATGTGATAAGCATCTGTAAACCTATCACCAAAAACAATAGCTAGGAACCTGGCAAAAATCTACATCTACCATATGATTAGCCAAGGACAGTGCATTTATGCAAATTTCATATTATATTAGGTTTCCCAGTTTTAAGATACTTTACAGAGAGCATAATAAAATTTGAAATAAGGGGAACCGCAGAGACATATCTTCAGTTAAAAATATGCATGCTATGTTGTCAATTGTATTTTTAGAAGAAGTTATGTTTAGCCTGTAACTTTAGGGAAATAGCTGTTTGACAACTAGGAAGATTGCAGTGCTACCTCCTTGTATGTACAAGAAACACCTCCTAATCCTACTCTGGCCTATGTTATTATAAAGTACTTTGAATCTAAGAGTTTAATGATTCCTCAACTCCCCACCCATCAACATATACGCACTTAGCCCCAGGATGAGGGAGGGAGATAAGGACAGAAAAGTACAATTGCTTCTATAGACTTTTTCGTACTCCCAAAAAACTTTAACCTTTTTCAGTAACAGATTTTTCAAAATTAACTAGAAGATGGACTCCTTGAGGCAATGTGCCTCCTCAACCACTTTGTACTTTTGTCCATAACAGACATGCACTTTGCAATCTTCTGATGATCACCGGTTCTCTAACAAATAAAAGAGGCAGAAGTATCCTATGCATTGTGAAGCATTTCATACCACACAGATGTGCACTGGAATAAGCCAGATACGTTCATGGAAATGGAGCAAAAGGAAACAGAAATGTGGCAAAAGACGAAAACAAAAACCCAGCAGAGCGACAAAGCCATAACAATCATGGCTCACCTGGGGATTTGGCTGTAGCATAGGCACTGGAGTAGTGGCCACCCCTCTTTACTGTACACATGCAGTATATACAAAGCAGAAGACAGTAAGGAGAGTGGTTATTCAGCAGGTCTAAATGTGTACACAAAAGAAGGGTAAACAACCTGCCCTAAAGAAAGTGGGTAGGTATGGAAGGGGAAGGGGTGAAAAGTGCAATGTCCAAAACACTTGGCCTCTTATAAAGGCTGGTGCTTGAGACGGTTTTCATTGATAATACTTTCATACACTCTAGATTCCCCACCTGCAGAATCGTGGTTTTTCACAATTCTCTCCTTAATGGGAAATGATGTCAATAAATTTATTCTTAATTACTAGAAACAAACCCATAAAATCAATATTGAGATATTTATGTTTTTAATTTTTAAAAATGCCAAAACAGTCCAAATTATGACAAGTCTATAGGCTTAAGACCTCGGAGAAATTTAATTACAGGTAAGCCTGACTCTAAAGCAAGCACTACTTTTCAACAATAATTGTTGCTACTATTGCACTGCTTGATGAAGGAAAAGCCAGTGGAAATTTGTCAAGTAAATACATGTCTGTGTGGAGTGTGTGTGTTTTAAAACAACAAGAATTAATGTTAAGAAAATAAGTATCTACAATCATATAGCACAAAATTCAAAATGCAGTATACAGTGGTCAAAATGTGAAACACTTCTACATAAATACTGGAAGACTCTAGATAATCAGGTTGCTCTCAAGAAAATGAGTCAGAACAAAAACACACAGGTCTCTCAGAAGAATTATAACTTTGGGAAACAGACTTAACTTTTTGGTTTTAAAAGTCATATTTTCTACATGTTATTCTAGAATCTGGCTGTACATGAGCCTGGCAAAGACTATTAGTTCATAAAAATTAAAGAAAATTAAAGGAAAATGATCTGTTCCTTCTATGACCATCTATTCCTTTTCCATTAACTACCTGAAGCTGGTGATTTGCTTCGTCGAGAGGGCCCAGGGCTTTTGGATCCAGAATACTTGACAGTTGAGGATCTAGAATAAGAAGACTTCAGGACACGGCATTCTAGAAAGAAACAAAAGTGTGTTAAATAAATCAGGTGCTAATACTGACCAAAGGGAGATTACACATGATTGTAGGTTACTGCCTAGAACCATTACCTGATCATTTATATATTTTTGTTAATTTAATGCACAAAGCAACGATCCCAAAAGTACATCTGAGGTTATCTTCATTCAGGCTACACACCTGTGACATCACCTCATTGTTCCAGCTGGAGCTCTCAATGAACACAGAAATCCCAATGTCCTAACTTGACACACACATGCACAGTAATCTATACACGTGCAACTTTTCTTTGTTAATCAGTAGCATTGATAGGCAAAGACTACAATCTTATCTTCTCCAACTTCTTGATTATCTTATTTTGAAAGGGTATGAGACTCCAACTTATGAATCCCTTACGGTCTTATTTTCCATCTTCCCAAAGTATGAAGCATCAAAAATGAGGAAACTATCTTTAAACAATTACTGGTCTTTCCCTAAATGACCACCCTAAATGACCAAATAAAACAGTGCTTAGAGTATCAGCAGTAATTACAGCTAAAAATAATTGCTTCTAATTTGAATAACTAAGAACTTGCATTTTGGAGTCATGCAGATTTTGGATGCATCACGGATTTGACATTTGCTAAGTGGGGTACCGTGGTTAGATTCTAAGCCTGTTTTCTTCCCAATCAAATTGGGAAAGATTAAAATCTGCTTCGTATGCTTGTTATAAGGATTATATTAGATAACATATTGTCTGTAATTTACTTTTAAAATACTGCAATTTATACAGGAAGATTAAAATGTGGGTTAGTTTTAATCTATACCCCAGGGGCAGTAAATTGACACGTGAAGTACACTAATCAGGGAAGTACACACCACGGGAGGCTAGTTAGCATGTCAAAGACCCTAATCAAAACCTTACACAAAGGGAGCAACTTCTGCTTAATTAGCATTGTGGATGTTAGAAAGTATCCATTGTTGAAAAGCGTGGTGTGTGGATTAGTTAGAAACATCTTAAAGGCACTGCCACTGTTTTGAGCAGGATTGGTAAACATAAAGAGCTAATAATTTAGAACTTCAGAACTATACCCTACCGTTGAGGAATTGGAGCCAGTCCTGCATTCAGCTCTGAAGAGATGATTTTGTTACATGACTTAAGATTAGCTAGCTGAATTCTGCGGATTTTGAATGGATATTTAATGCAAGATGTTGTCAGAAGCCTAAAATGACAGAGGGGACTTGACTTCATCAAGATCACAATACATGCTAAAAAACTGATTTTTTAAAAATCTTTGCCTCCCTAATAAATGTACCTGTGGCAGAATTAGGTCAGAGACTTGCTATCAACTGTAAAATTTTACCATGTAATGGTGGTGACATAATAATATTATTAACAAGAATAACGAAATAGCAGGAGACACATACTGTGTGACAGGCACCCTTCTAACTGCATTACATTATGTTAATTCATTTAATCCTCACAAAACCTTATAAAATAGCCATTATTATTCCCACTTGGCAGAAGGTTAAGTGACTAGAGATCAAGAGGGAAGAATAGCTCTCACCAACCTCTAACTACTGGAGGCCGTCAATCATCACCACCAAAAACTGTGAACAATCCAACCAGTTTAGGTAAATGTATGACATATACAAATAGCACTGAGTACAATGCCTGTACATATGTAGTAAGTGTTCAACAAATGTTTTATTATTGTCGTTGTGGCTCAGAAACCAACAACCCAAAAGATGGTGCTTCGACACATGTAACAGAAGCAGCCTCAAAGTGTCTTTGACCTTCTTCCTGTCTTTTCTAAAGAAGCTGAAGTTCCTTCTTCTGCCTAAAATTCAGACCCACCCAGGAGAACAATTGTTTTTTCTTCCCTTCCCCATAAGACCAAGAAGGTAACCACATCTGAACAGACCCTTTCACTGTCAAAGAGAACTATTTACAAGTTAATCTCTGTTCCCATATTCATTGATTCTCCCAAGCAATCCTTTATTGCCCTCAGCAGAACTCTTTCTCTCCAGTCCCATAACCTGTTTGGCCAGTTTAAACTTCAGAATCCTTTTGGGGGATGGGCAATCCCTGTGATTCTCCCCGTACATACACATACATGTTGAAAAGATGTGTACACCTTTTCCCTTGGCTCCCCTACATTATTATTACTATCCCAATTAACTTTACAACCTAGAACATAATTAGTTTCAGTGTCTCAACTTCCAAAATGACTGACATCAAAGTTATATTACAAAACTAAATCTAAAATTAAGATGTAAAATACAGATAATATGCATATTTCATTTAACCTGAATCCCACAGGAATAAGAGAAAGCATTAGCACAGATAACACAAAAGGACATTATTTACAATTAAGGACTTTCTAGTGGTGTTACCAGCCTAAAGTAGAGCCAGACCAATAGAATAATACAATATAGAAAACCTCAAATTTGGCAGAGGTGAAAAACAGAAAAAAAAATAAGATAAATGAGTCCCAAACACATGGGTAACTGATGTAGTGTAACAGGAAAGAAATACCCAAGGAAGTCTGGTACCACAGATTGTAACGTCTCAGATTTTTAAAAGCCTACATATTAGGTAGATAGCAATGGATTCTGGGTCTCCTAGGGACAAAAGTGGGTGCTGTTGCTTTCATGCAATTGCCCCAACTGGGAAGAAGCACAAAGGTGGGCCTCAGATCCTCATCTTGGTCCTACTCCACCCTAACCCTTTCCCAAGCGACTGCCATACCTGGGGGAGGAGGGAATACCCTATGAATGGCCAATCAGAACTTAGCACGTCAGCTGCAAAAGAATGCAGAGGACTCTCTAGCCCATGGGCCAAGGAGCACAGATACCACAGAGTCCAGAAATTGACCTAGAACAACCTGCATGCATAGTTAAGACTCAGGTCATGCAACTCCAACTATCCAATCAAAATGGTTCCATGGTGACCTCTGAGCCAAGGGGAGGCCCCAATCCGGGCACTATAAAACAAGTTGTAGACCATAACCAAATTCCTTTTGTCCTTCCTTTTGCTCTCCCTTTGCTGCGACAACAGGTCCAGTCATCATCTGTGGTGTATATATCATACTCTGTAAGCCTATATCTTTCTCTTGCTCTATAATCCTATCTTTCTCTCCTCAATGAACCTCATTTTCGTGCTTGCCTTACTTTGGTGTGTCTGGTCATTCTTAGGCCATAAGCACAATAAGAACTGACATTTCAGACTAAAACCTGACATCACTATATTTATTCGGTAATATATTTCTCTAATTCTGGACGGTCAGAACCACTACAACTGGAAGTGGCCTACTGTCCATCTAATTTTTTAATAGCCAACTTTCCTCATTTATAAAATTAAAGAACAAGACTATATTTATAAGATCCTGCTCCTCTGAAATGTTGTGTGTGTGTATAATTGTACCTCATTTAAAGCTGAAATAGACTTCACTATCAGCTAAAATAATCACTGTTACTGAAATAGGTTTAAGGTAATTTAATACAACAGGGTAAAGCAACACTCCCAGAATAACATTTGAAATCACTGAGATTATTGCTAAATAGTTGAAAACTGTATATATTGGCTAAAATCAAGAAAAGAGGATTCTTTTATTCCACCTGTGACTATTTTTTTTTCTAAATGCAATCATATGTCACTTAACGGCAAGGATACGTTCTAAGAAATGCCATCATTAGAGAATTTCACCATTATGTGACCATTATAGAGTGTACTCACATAAACCTGGATGGTATAGCCCACTACACACCTAGACTATATGGTACAGCCTATTGTTCCTAGGCTATAAGCCTGTACAGCACGTGACTATACTGAATACTGTAGACAACTGTAAGACAGTGGCAAGTATTTGTGTACTTAAACACATCCAAACATAGAAAAGGTACGGTAAAAATATGGTACTTTAATCTTATGGAGCCACCATTGTATACACGGTCTGTCATTGACCAAAATATCATTATGCAGCATATGACTATATAAACAATGCGTGTTACTTTTAAAAAGTTGCAAACAAAAACAATGAGGTTAAAAGAAACCTCAGATAATCAACATTAACAATTTAGTTATCTTATTAAGTATTTCTTTATGCACACAAACATCATGAAAAATGGACAACTAATTATTTCAGGTTCAACACGATCCATGCATTTAAAGGTGGTTCTGAAGGAGGGTGCAAGACATTTCAGAGGCAAAATAATGCAAGAGATGGAACTGAACTGCTAAAAATGATAACTACTTGTATAATTGGCCCCATGAACAAATTTCAATGACCCCTATATGTTTGTTTGTTTGTTTTTATAATCCTCTCCCTTAACTAACTACATGACCTTTTGAGTTATTTCCAAGCAATGGTGGGTTTTCTGCAAGAAAAAGGAGCTGAGATTTTGAAAGCCCCTGGGCACAGTTCCTGATGGCAAGATTCACCATCCCCCACAATCTGCCCCCAATACCTGTAGCCCCCCTTGTTAGTTACACCACGACTGTCCCAAGGCACATGTCCCCTCATTTAAAAGTTCATGATCTCCTTTGGTCTGAGAAACGGATTTGAGGCTGCTTCTCCCATTCTTCCGACAAGATGTCTGTCCTATTAAAAATTCCTTTCTTCCTGGGCAATCCTCGTTTCAATAATTGAATCTTTGTGCTATAAGCAAATGGACCTAGACCAAACCCCACTAGCGGTTTCAACGACACTTGAATTAGGTGTTGGGTTTTTCTTTTGCTTTCCTTTTTTTTCTTTTTTAAATAACTAGGCAAATGCTTTCAAGTTATTCTGTATTTTCTTTAGTTCAAAAAGAGTACTGCCAATGCCATCTTTCTTTAACATGCCACGTCTCTTCACATGCACTGCGTAGCTAAATCCTAAGCTTTCATTTCAGGGGTGACAAAAATGGTCAATGAATTGCCGCCTTACCACTGTGATCCAGGACAAAGTCATCTTGGGCATAACGGAATTTTTCAGGTCCACATGCAATAAAAACGTCGTCATCACCAAAAAAGTCTTGCAGACAAGTAACCTGAAAAAAAAAAAAAATCATGTCCAAGAAATAAATTAGAAACATTAGAAGTGAAATTAAAACAAAACTAAATATATTTTTGAGCTTCAATGACAGTATTGAGGTGGAACAGAAAGTTGTTTTTAATATCACACTACATTTCCGAGCACTTTACTTTTACATCCTGTCTCTTGAGTTCAGAACGACAGTGTGAAGGGTTCGTGGCAGGTGTCAATATTCCTATTTTATGGCTGAAATCAACGATGTACAATACATGCAAAGATAAGCAATTTTTTCTCCCCAGGGTTCCGAATGGATGGGTGGCAAAGATGGGGTTGGATGGAGGCCTCTGCTCCCAGTTGAGTGTTACTTTCCCTTCTGCCCTCTCCTAGCAACTCCAGTTCCCAGCCGTGTGACCTTGGGCATGACTTCTCTGTACCTCTGGCGTAATGCCTTGGGTTGTTTTGAGGATTAATGTATGAAAACTGCTTGGAACAGTGCCTGGCATGCAAGTGCTCGATGTGTTAACACTCATCCCCATCACCACACCACCATCATCATCATCAGAGGAAGATTTGCCATGAAGCTAATGAGACTTAACCCTCAGGGCTCTTCCAAGGCCCTGTACCTAAATGTATAGTTCGATGTCATATCCTCAATCTCATATTCCACTATATTAGTTTCAGACCCTACAGAATTTGGATCTTTCCCAGGGAGTACATTCATCCATTTATCCCATTGGTGACAAGAAGAACCTCTTCTAGGATTTTAGACATTAATAGGCTCTATTTTTACCTGTTTGGGTTATGTAGTTTCTTTTTTAAAAAGTACTCCATTCCCAATAATAAAACCACATTGCTCTAGTACTAGCAATCTCAGTACTTCCTTAAGTCTTCCTGATTATTTAGCTTTTTATTGGAACAAAAATAAATCTCAACGTAGAGTTAGAAAACAATGTTCCAGAGAGAAGGTAGTGAACTAGATACAATGTAGATTACTCAGATCACGGTACTTAAGTGACTCAAATGATGGACTTTTTTGCAATGCCAAAATGTGCAAAAGCCCTGTGGAAAGTTCAGGCGTGGCATGTTCACCAGGAAAAGCTAGAAGTCCTGGAACACAGTGAGAGAAGGGGAAGAGTCACTGTAGAAGAGGAGACCAGAAAGGTAAAGGGAAGCAGATCAGATCATGTAGGGCCTTGTCAGGCATCGGTAAGGAATTTGGCTTTACTCTGAGATGGGAAACCACTGGATGATTCCAGCAGAGGACTGCCAGAACACTAATTATGTTTAACAGGCTCACACTGCGCTAAGACTAGACTGTAAAAGGGCAAGGCTGGAGAGCGGTTTATTTGGAGACTATTGCTACTCCAGGCAAGAGATGAGGGTGGCTTGTGTAAAGGTGTCAGGAGTGGAGACAGTGAGCTGGGATCAGTGAGCTGGACATAGAGATATGAAAGAACAGAGAAAATTATGATGGTACAGGGTTTTTGGCCTGAGCAGCTGAAACGACAGGGTTAACACTAACTCCGGCAGGGAAGAGTGCAAGATAATGGAGAAGCTTCATGGGGGAGTGGTTTGCAGTGTGCTGGAAACGGAATCAAGAAAGTGTTTCAAGGGACAGTGAGTGGTCAACTGGGTGTCAATGTTACTGACTGGCCAAGTAAGATGAAGATTGAGAGTCACCACTGAGTTTAACAGGAAGATCATTGGGATCTTGACAGAAGAGTTCTGGTGGAGTGGTTGGGGAGAAAGCCTGACTGCAGTGGGTTTAACAGAAGATAGAGGAGTTGGAGACACTGAGTATAGACAACCGTTTCAAGGAGTTTGGACTGCGAAGGAGGGCAGAGTAACAGGAAGGTGGCAGGAGAGGAAGTGTCATAGTGGTCAAGAGAGCTTGTTTTTTAAGATGAAAGAAACAATAGCAAGTTACTATGCTGTTGAAATGACTCAGGAGGCAGGGGGAAAAAACTGTGACACAAGAAAGAGTAGAATTGCTAGGGCTGTGTGCCTTCGTAACTTAGGAGGGAATGGGATCGTGTGCGGGTGAAGGGACCAGCCCTGGATGGGGCCACGGTCAGCCCTCAGCAGCAAAGAAAGTGAGGAGGCAGGACAGCGACGTGGGACACATGGTGGTGGGGCTGGTGGGTGTTTCCATTTTCTGACTGCTTCTTATGCTACTGAGAAAACTGAAAGTCATCAGCTTAGAGTGAGGTTGGGGGAGGAGCTGCAGCAGGTTTATGGAGACAGAAAAGATGTGAAATTGCAATCTGGGATTGTGGGGAGAGGGCGTGGGGAAGGAACTGTGATGTGCCTGCAGGCTGCACTATAGGCCCACTGGAGGCCCCATGGTCTGCACAAGAGAAATTCTCGGTTCTAAAAATAGAAAGAAGTTGTCCAGCTTACAGTGTTTTAGAAAAATCAAAACCTTTCAGGCCAGGTGCAGTGGCTCACGCCTGTAATCCTAGCACACTGAAAGGCCGAGGCAGGAGGATTGCTTGAGGTCAGGAGTTCAAGACCAGCCTGAGCAAGACTGAGACCCTGTTTCTACTAAAAATAGAAAAATTAGCCGGGTGTGGTGGTGTGTGCCTATAGTCTCAGCTACAGGCAGAAGGATCACTTGAACCCAGGAGTTTGAGGTTGCTATGAGCTAGGCTGACTCCAGGGCAATCTAGGTCAGGTGACAGACTGAGACTCTACTCAAAAAAAAAGAAAAAAAATACAAAGAAAACACTTTTCATGTTGGGATTATTAATATTTCATGAGGTTGCAGCATCTAGCCAGCCAACAGAAGAAAACTGATATGAACACAGATGATACAAAAAACTTGATTGCATAGTGCTAGACTGCAGCGGGAAGCCAGGAGCACAAAACCTCTTTGGGACTTTTTCCATGCTTAAAACATGACTTTGGATTCAGCCAAGTTATAGCGTGGGATAGGACAGGTCTTTCCTACAGGGGCTGAGGAGGCTGGCCTTCCTTCCCCTGGTGGGAACAGCCTGAGCCGTGCTGTGGGGCAGGCCATCTGGTGTGAACAACATACCTACCAGACATGGAGCACCAGCCCATTTATCTTTCGTAGTTGCTCCTATCAAACTTGAACTAAGCAAAAACAAAAACCTACACTGTGTGATAATGTGTAACTAAAGAATGAAGGAGGGAGTTTCTTTTCCTTTACCACTGTTGGTTTAAAGTACAAGTCTGTGTTCATATTTGTCACATTCCACTGACAGCCAAAAAAATTAAGGTATCTTAAGCTCTCAGAAATCCTTTATGGAAATGTGACTCATGTCGTATACATTTAAATATGTTTATATACACACATTAAAGAATAAATTCTACCAACAGCTCCCTAGAATAATCATAAAATGGATAAGAAAGATTTCACTTAAATGTAATATATCAAAGCAAAGCATTGGTTCATATCTACATATGTAAGCTACGTGCACAAGTATCAACATTTTTAGATAATGTAAACAGAATTGTAAGCATACACATCTTATTTTTATGCTAAAATGTTTATACACCACTAGACCCCTTTAGTCCAGTGCAGTCATTATCTGTCCATGCTTAAGTTTCACAAGTATATAAGACTATATATTTTATTTTTTCCTATTAGTAGCCCAAATTCAGCTGATATTTGTTAATGTAAAACATCTGATAAAATGCTCAGGGTCTGATATAAACTCAAATAACTCTCTCTCACCAATGGGAGCCGCATTAATTTACTACTATACATTCACTCTAGCATTAATCAAGTGCCTACTCTATGCCAGGCATAAACAAAGACAAGCAGCACACAGTCTAGTGGAGGAGATGGACAAGAAAACTAGTACTTATAGTTCAAAATGCCACATTAGAGTGAATGCTGTTAATAAAAGAACATTTTGCCCGTTATGGAAATAAGGAGCACAAAGAACTAACTTGATTAAAGTAGCACCCATAAAATAAAGTTCTCAGTACCTTTAAAATATTTCATATGTTTGGACACTTAGATAATTCTTTCTTTTGTGTTTTACAACATATTCCGTGTTCTTTAATTCTGGTGATCTGTTTGTTCTTTTTATCATTAATTTTTTAAACTGGGGTTTAACACTGAGGTATGAGCCGGGTCACTAAATCCATCTCAGAAAAAAAATCAATGTAACAAATAACGTCCTAAAATCATTCTTAACAAGGATGAAAAAAAGTGTCTCAGTTTAGAAGACCTCTTACTGTTTACTTCTCAATTCTTCCTTCAATGCAAGGAAGAATTAATTCTTCCAGAAGCTCTTTGGGAATAATGGACATCATGTGGCTTATAAAAGAAAGCTACACAAAAGAAGGGAAAGTGTTATTTCTGCTAAGGTGCAAAATTGAAGCAATCAGCAGGATCTAATGGGGAAACATCCAAGTGAGAAATAATGTATCTACAGGAGCACACCTAAGTTTTCCAAATGAATGGGGACCACTTAAAACAGTAATTTTTCTATCCTTCAATAGACAGATTAATTAGGTCAGGGTAAACAGGTGCCAGCCATAATTTCAGTGTTGGTTCTTAATAGCTTGGCACAGCCACTTTTTTTCTTTTCCCTATTTGGTCTCTGTTAAGGGATATACAAACATATGCAAAAGCCCTGAGATCTCATAAAAATATTATGCATGTATTAGGTGCATAATAAAGCTTTTCCTCAAAAAAAATAAGGTAGAGAACACGGAGATGTAATCTTCCCCGGAAACTTGCTTTCTGAACAGGAGGGGTTGTGTGAGATGTCTCTTTCCTGATCCACTGACACACTGTGAGAGTCTTGTGTTTCTTACCCTTTGCAGAGTTACAAAGGAGTTGGTGCCAAAGCAACCCCTTTCTGCTCCAAAATTCTAAAGTCTAAATATTTCGGTTTATTAAAAGAGCTTTTATTTGTATTTTAGGAGACTGCTTTCAAAAAAGTTGAGTGTATTTTTCTGAGAGAGAAAAAAAAGGAACACTTTGGCTAAATCATTAATGTCCATTTGAGATTTCTTTCTGTTCAAGTTTTAGCTTCA